CAGAATTATCAGTCTGTCTAGAAACTTGTCATGGCCGTGAGGCTGCCGAGCTGTCCCCGGCAGCATTGCCAAGTCAGCCAAGTCAGCGATGCCCCCGCCATCTGATGGAGCCCGTCCAAACCTCAGCAGATGAGTGCAGGCTTGCCCCACAATCCCCGAGAACAGGCAGGAGCGACGCGGCCATACATGAGAAACAGCTCGATGGGAAGACAGCTAACCTTTTTGTCTTTTGTTTAAAAACTATTTCATTTTAATGGTAACTATATATATATAGAGAAGGGAGTTCTAGTGGTCTAACCCATGGGGAGCTGTGTTGCAAATAACCAAAAGGCAGGTGCCTCTCTGGCAGTTTCCATCTACCAGCAGCTCCAATGGAGAAGGAGGGTAGTCTCTTCCTATGTGATTTACAGCCTCTGAAAACTTGCTGGAAGGTAAAAAAGCCTGCTGTGAGTGGGTTCCAACTTGATGGCATTGAGTTTTATATATGTTGTTGTTGTTAGGTGCCACTGAGTCATCTACATCTTGTAGCAACCCTGTGAATGAAAGACCTGAGCACTGTCCATAGAGTTTCCAGAGGCAAGCCATTTCAGAAGTGGATGCCACTCCATTTTTTCCCAGTTTTATATATACACATAACAAAACATACTTAACGTTTTTATCAATTTTCCAGCCAAACTCCTCCTGGTGGGGATGTTGGTAATTCCATGCACCATCTGGTAACGACTTTCCCAACTTGTTGTTTCAAAGAGAGTTGAACGTTTATTTGCAACCTAAAGGAGGACTTGGGGTGGGGGTGAAGATAAAAGGAGAAAACCCCTTGAAAGGGGTTGGTAGGTTTATGGAGTATGCAGGGTGTATTTTTCCAGGACACATCCCGCTGCTTCAAGCCTGTAAATGAAAATATAAAGTTTGTAGAAATTCAGGTGCGTGAGCCTACCATTAAGATATGACCTTTTCATGTTAGGAAGATCCATAAATACCCATCAGAAACAGTGAACTTTTATATAAATAAAGGGCAGCTCAGTGCTTGCAGGTAGAACTTTAAAACAGGGTTGGAATGAAGATGTGTCCAGTTGTTGGTTTTGTGTAAGATCCTGGGGATGGTAGCTACCTCCATGTGCTTCTCCCAGGCTTTTGCCTTCACTATCAGAGAGGCCAAGAAGATTCGTGGTATGGCCTGATGTCCTCTGCACGCTGAGCACGAGGCAAAGAACACATCACATGCCGAGCATGTACAGAGATCTCTGTAATCTTTGTATCCAGGGCTTCGCTGGGAGTGATAAGCCAGAGCAGACATCTCCTGTTAAGAAAGTGAGTCCTCAGAAAGAAAGAACTAGGCAGGATTCTGTATGGAGCCCGAAACCCAGCACTAAATTCTGTGTCAAAACAAAGTCTGTGTGCTTAGAGATGGCCTCCCAAGACCTGGAAGGCTCCTGACCTGACAGTTGAGAAACAAGAGTTGGCCTGTTGGCATTTGATTAATGCAGACAAGTTAATAAAGTAGCTAGAAGAATGCACCAAGAGAGGATGCAAAGAGGGATGTGAGGGAAGGTAAGAGGATTAAAGCTGCAAAAACATTCCTCTAATGGATTTCTCAAACACACCAGCCAACAGGCAAGGGCAGGTGTCCTGTCAAACTGTTTCCCCATGAAACCTGATCTGTCGTTCTGCAAGGAGGCCTGCTAACCTCATTTGGAACTGAAGGGCCTGCCCTGAGACTCAGCAAAGCGGGTTGGTCCAGGAAAAGGGCTTTGCAGACAAAGGGGCCTGGGAACAGTCTGGTTTCCCTCAAGTGTGGCCAACTAGCTCTTCTCCCTGCATCTGCCTGTCGGATGGCTGCCTAGGGTGGTATTGATCATGAGGTCTTCACACTTCCCTGGCCTCCTTCCTGCCCAAAAACACTAGGAAAGGGGAATGATTTTTAGATCATTCGTCACTTCATTGTTCTGCCTTTGATCCTGTAGGGAAATGCAAGCTTTGCCCCAACAGCCAAATTGGGAGTGTTTGTCTAGTGAAGCAACAGTTAAGACTTAAGATCAGGACGAACAAGGAAATAGGGCTCAGGACCAAACTGCTTCTTTGTTTTGAAGCTGGAAGACTCGCCTTCAGTCAGCCCTCATAGGGAGCTGCGTGCCCAGCTGGGGTGTCCTCGGTCCTGCCTGCACGGGCTGTTGTGCACATGTTGGCATCAGAACAGAGGGGCTGTCAGGCTGCGGGTGACCGGTGTCCAGCTTTGTACCTCCCCCTCTGCACTGCCTTCTGTCTCAAACCCAGCAGTTGTCAGAGGGTGCACTACAGCCAAGAGGGGCCAGAGGAGGCATAATGCTTCCGAGGCTTGGGTTGTTGGGTGGGTGCATGGAACAGTGCGTGCTCAGTGTCTAGATAAGCTCTTAATTAACAGGAGGGCCAGAGCCCGGGGCCGTTAACATGGAGATGGCATTCTGGTGCCAAACTCATTTCAGTGGCTCACATCACTCTTGAAAAATGATCTGCTAGGTTTAAGTGTAGTCTTGCCTGAAGCAGATTTCCTTAGAGTGATGCAAAGAAGCAGAGGAGGGGAAGGGAAGAAGGAAAAAAAAGCCCTTGGTGGAGTAGTTTTGAGTTTATTAGACCGTGGAAGAGAGTGCTTCCCGGTGACTGAGGAATTTTCTGGATGCCCCTGGGTGCTGCTGTATGGCTCACTGCTTGTTTTATGGGAGCCTCCTGAGGAGGCAGGTACAGCCTCGCTCTGTCCTAAAAGAGGATTAGGAAAAAAAAAAAATAAAAAAAAAAAATAAAAGAGGATTAGGGCCTTTTTGAGATTTTTTTTTTAAGTGCATAGCTTTCCAAAGCAAAGTTATTAAGACTTAACTAAATGAGCATGGGCCATCCATAGCACAAACCAACCCTCCTTCTCTCTGAGAGAAAACTCCTATCTGTCATGACTGAGAGGCTCAGACAGAATTTGCTACAGAATTTGGGAGGAAAAATGAAAATACAGGGTCCTTTGCTGAGAAGTTATTAAGACGGTGCCAGCAGAGCATTGACTCAGGTGTGGTGCCTTCTCAAGCACAGAGTTTGTGGGCCGAGTAGGTTGCACGCCCCTTGGGCCCAGCCTTCCAGACTGTTTGTTCATGCCACAAGGGTTTAGAGAGAGTTGCTAGACCCCCATGCACTGTGCAGGGGGCCTCGGGATTAGAGTGTAGAATTTTTATATAGTCGGCCCATTAGGACTTCATCATTTAGTTAGGGTCAGATATCATATGCACAAAGTTAAATAATAATGGGATGATTCCATAAGAGCCTAGGGTATCCTGAATTCACCTCAAGGCAGGAACATGTGAGAGAGCTCACCCTGAGAGTTAACTTGTTCAGCCTGGACAGTGAGGGGAAGCAGGGGAAGGGTGACTGGAATCCCAGTCTCGTCATTTTGCCAAACTGCTCCATGAATAAGGGGCCCTGTGGAACAGTGAGCTGACGCAGGAGGTAGTTGAAACCAACCAGCTGCTCTGAGGGAGAAAAACAGGCAGTCATCTCGCATAATACTTACAGTCTCAGAAACCTGATGGAGAGATGCTATGACCACATGAATGGCAGATGTATCTCTTATTCTGCATTTATTAGGTTTATTTCACCCCTTTCCTGGGACCTTAGAAGTAGTTTCTCATGAAACTTTTTTTTCCACAGTAGCTTCAATTGGGCATGCTTAGACAAAATGTTCACAGAGTATTTATGATCTTGTAGTTTATCTCACAGTAAACCAGACTCAACTAGGGCATTTGAGTTCATAGGCAACATAAATAGTCCCCTTGTATCCTGACTTAGCGGGTCCTGCTTTCAAGATAATCATCCATTCAGCATTTACTCAGCATCTACTAGGGTCAGCGTTGGGTTGGGTTAAAGGGACATATATGAGCAGGACTTGGTTCCTACCCCTAATGTTCTCAGACACAGATTCAAAGAACTCAGATTCTAGTATTGTACTCGTGGGGACAGTGAACTTTCAGGGAAACAAAAGTGCTTTCCTGCCAGACTTGGCATCACGGTGAACTTCTGGAAAGTTCCATTATGTGGGAAATCTGACCTTGATGAGTGCCTTGATCACTGGGTTCTCCTGTGGTGACAGTAGTTTGTTTTTGGTAATTATCTTGTGTTTCTGTGAGAAACCTGATTCTCCTTGCGGCTCTTGCCTTCCTCAGTCTCCAGTGGAAACAATAACCAGGGCAGGTGGGGTCTTGCAGTTGAATTGCCCTGAACTCCGATGGTTATCAGCTCTCAGGAGCTGAGCAGAATTTGGTGTGGCCACCTGTCAGAGAGGATGCCTCCAGGGCTGTTAAACTATCTTTATGAAGAGAAAGAATCATTCTGTTCATCACCTTTATTTTATCCACCATTATTTTTATTTCTTCTCTTAAATTCCCCCATGATCCCAAAAATAAAATTTTGAATGAGATTGGTTCAGTTGCACAAATGGCCCCGATTGGTTGGTTCAGCAACGTCATTATTTGGCTCAGAGACAGTTTTGTTGTTGGACTGCTGGATTATCTGGGAGACACACGGCTATCATTCCAGACGGGGCTCCATCCTCTTCCAATTTAGATTCCAGCCTCCTTTCACCACACTTCAAGTCAGCATGGAATTCTCTCCTCCACCAAAAGAGGGGAAGACACTGAACGAGATGGATTGACCCAATGACCATAATAAGGGGCTTGAGTGTATCAGAGATGATGTGGATGGAACAAGACAGGGCAAGGTTCAGATCCATTATTTATATGTTCACTTTGAGTCGCGTTCAGTGGCCCCTAACATTCACAGCCTACCCATGGCAGATCTATGCAGTGCTCGGCCATGTACATGTGCACAGACCATCCCTTAAGCTCTGTCTCAGACCACCCTTCCCTGACAGCCTCTGGAGCCTTGCTATAAGGCATAAGGACTCCCTGGCACAAGCCCACCTTGCAATGTCAAGCCATCCATCTCAGTCACTGAGACCCAACCAGTAACTCCTCTTATTTCCATAGACCTCCAGGACTTCAAGTTAGACGTGCAGCACGTGATTGAAGTGGATGAGGGGAACACAGCGGTCATTGCCTGTCACCTGCCAGAGAGCCACCCGAAGGCCCAGGTCCGATATAGCGTCAAGCAGGAGTGGCTGGAGGCCTCTCGAGGTGAGCAAGCTGGGCCGGGCCCTGAGGTCAGAAGGGAAGCTGGCAGCCTCTGACCACCCCTAAATGACAAAACTAGGTCACCTGCTACCACCTCCAAACCCCACCAACACAACCACAGCCCCATTCCTCACACTGCTGCTCAGCTCTTTGCTATCTTGCTCCTTAGTTCTGCAGTATCCTAAAAGAGTTGATTGGCTTCTTTGTCCTCTGAAGTGTTGGAAAATGTTGCCAAACTGCTGCTCTTTGATCAGGGCTGTTCACACCTAGTTCCAGATTCTTTTATGCTCAAATAGACAGGTTGCCTAACAAATAGAGCCATTCGCAAAGCTTCAGGGTGTCCTGGTAGAGCCGCTTCCCACAAGGCAGAGCAGTCTTTGCATGGAACTTTCTTCACTGTTCCCAGCTTCCTAGTAACTTAAGACGTTCTGTCACCTCAGCACCTGCCACTTCCTGCCTGTCCACAGTGCATAAAGCAGCTGTCCAGGGAATGCCACACTTTGGTTTGCAGGGTGCTGGAGTACAAGAGAGGCTGTCATTTGTTTCCCACAATGGCCCCTGCACTTAGGTCCAAGTAGACCCACGACTATCCCTGGCCCCACACCTCAAAATGTGTGCCGAGTATGACGCTTAATTGATTTCTAAAGAGTTTACTAACTTTTCCAGGTTATAAAAGGAATAGATGTTTATGAGAGACAATTGAAAAAATGCAGTATTTTTAAAAATATGAAAAACTGTAATGCTGTCACTCAGAAATAACACTAGGCTGAACAGAGAAGAACATTAATGGCTAGTCCCTGTGAGATGCTTCATGGTCTGTCCCACAAGGTCAGAGCTTTCCACACTCCATGTAGTGCTTGCCTTAACAGCACAGGTCAGGTGGCCCAACGGCATGGTGATCACCAGCTGTTGAGAGTCTGGAGTGTAGGGACACCACGGTTCTCAGGCCACCAGTGAGATGGCCATGGTTTGCTATCAGAAAGCAGAAAGTCATTCTAGAAGGCTGGGAGTTTGCCTCTTGTTTCATGAACTTGAGTGGACCTGTCAAGCAGAATTCCCCTCAACAAGGAGGTGGAGGCCAGTGATACAGTGGGAAGGATGTCAGTGACAGGCACAGAGGAGGCAGTGGCAGAAATGAGAGGATGGCTCAGAGCTGTGATGGGGACAGACCACAAGGAGGTCCAAGTTAGGCAGCTCTCCTGCCTGATGGCTTGCAGGAATGGTGGACTGATCTCCCAAGTGTGTGGCAGCAACCCCTTGATCCTTACAATGGCTCTGAGGCAACATACATTTCACAAATGAAGGCGCAGGATCAGGGAGGTTAATTAACTTGCCCAAGGTCACACAGCACTTGGCAATCCAGGGCTTGAGCCTAGCTCAGGCTGAGTCCAGCCCAGCCCCCTTGAAACTACTTTTGTACAAACAGCTACTTTGGTCGCTGATTGGTTATTTTCTCTCCTTGGTTCTTCAGAGGTGTTCACTACAAATTCTTACTGGGAGAATAGTGTTCTAGGTCTGGGCTTGTTGTGACAAAGGTGTTCTTCAGCTCCTGTCTACCTGCCCCAGCCCTTTCACCTTCATAGGTAAGTAAGAGCACTATCCTGGGTCCAAATTCATCCTGTATTTCCCCGTCCTTTCCACAGATAACTACCTGATCATGCCATCCGGCAACCTCCAGATCGTAAATGCCAGCCAGGAGGATGAGGGCATGTACAAGTGTGCAGCCTACAACCCAGTGACCCAGGAAGTGAAAACCTCTGGCTCCAGTGACAGACTGCGTGTGCGCCGTAAGAGAGGGGTCCTGTTGATGAGAGGCACAGGGGGAGGTGTCAGTCAAAGAGCCAACCCGTCTTCTCTGGGGGTGGTGGCGGGGAGTGGGACAGTGGGCCATTCCCTCTGACTGGCCAGTGCCAATTTCCCACAGCACATGGCTTGGCTCTGACTGGTGGTTGTGCTTCCTGGTCACATCAGTATGTGGAGGATATCCCTTTTTCCTGCACATTAGAAATTTCCTTCAGGCGATTATGTATTGGGAGAAAGTTGGCCTGGAGCTCAGCTGGAGTACAGATGAGATGAGAATGCATTTGTACCAGGGAACGAGGTCCCAGGCCGGCCTGTTCAGCTCTGGACTGGACCCATGTTGTCTGGACTTCTTGGGACACCAGGCACCTTCCTCACAAAAGCTCAGAAAGTTCAAGGTGGCATCATTGCTCCCCATTAACATGAAAACTACAACTACCTTCTCTGAGCACTTACAGGTGTTTTGCCTACTCAGTGGAGTTACAGCCTGTTCTACAATTCCTTTTTAGAGCCATTTTAAATTAGTAAGGTTTTTGGTGGTTTCTTTTGTCAGTTTGTCTTGTGATCTGAGTGAAAGTGTACAGGGAAAGTTGGCTTCTGTTCAGCGATTCATAGGCACTTTGGTGGCTGATTGCAACCCCCCCCCCCCCCCCAGTGTGCAGCACTCTCACCCGTTCTCCGTGTTTACAGTTCCCCACGTGGTGACCCCTTCCTGCCTTCTTGCCTTCTGAGCTTTATCCCGGTGCAGATGCCGGTCTTTCATCTCATTTGGTTGATTGTTCTGAGTGAGCAGGCCCAGTGCTGTTGTTCACCTTAGATGCCTGTCTGTTGCTTGGCTGAATGTTAAGCCACGGGAGTGAGTCAGT